CTGTACCTGGAGGTAGCGAACAAATACACCGGCAATTTATCTCCATGTTTGTCAACTTCCATTTTTTCTATCAAGTCCTTCTACTGGTATTCCTCTTGGTGTTGACTGCCAGACGTGTCACCTTGTACTCTTCATTTTCTTTTTTCTCCATCTTAGCTTCATGATTCTCTGTTTTACAAATTATGTCTTTCTCCTGTTTCATACGTTATACAATTGTTGTCCCCGTCATAATAGGTTATTCGCTCTGAGTAAAATTTTGACAACAATTGTTTTTCTTTTCTTTTTTTATCATCCACTTGTGACAGTCAGAGTCAGGATCCTCGTGAAAGTTTCTTCCCAAATAACTGAGTCAAAGGTAAGTAAGCCCTAGTTGTTTATCTCTCAAGTTAAACTTTAACGTTCGTTTGGTTCCCATATGTAAGATACCGTGTCTCATAACTTAATTAAATGACAGTTTTTTGTTTTCGTTCATATTGTTAACTTTACGTTCATTTTTACAAAAACAAATATATATATATTACCTCCGGAAGCGGTTCTGTTACCGTTGCAAAAGTATTTGGAACCCTGCCCGATTATGGAAATAGGAAACGTAAATTGGAAATTTCCCTTAATGGAATATATGTGCTACGTAATCTCATAAATACTGATTGATATGTTTGAAATTCTACCCTCCAGATAACTTACACCACCAATAAATATTACTGTCTGGCTTTGTCCAGTGTGACCTCCTCCCTTCCACCACCTCTGGCCAGGCGTCAGGATGTTACATCACTTTCCAGTCTCAATATCAACCACACCTTACATGAAAATGAAATGTGGCCAACACGTTACAGCTGGTTGACTCACATGAATATAGACAGATAGATGAGCAGGCCTAGAACTATGTGGAGACCAGATGTGTGCCTGTGTAGTGTATGTCTCCTGGGGTTGTTTATTTTTTCTTTATATATTTATTAATTCGTGTTTGTTTATTTTAGAAAGCAATATAACACGCTGGAACTGTGGTTTCCTAAAATGACAGGAACCTAAATTAATAACTTGTTGATCAGTAGTCCATCTGACACCAACAACCTGAAGCTTCGATTTTGTTTTCCTTTTTTGATCATGCTTCCTGATTATTATACAGATAATGCATACATGTATCATTATAATGATATTCACAAGCTGATTATTATACAGATAATGTATACAGGTATCATTATAATGATACTCACAAACTTCAGATCATGTATCCTCATTACTTTTTAAGTAGCCTCATCAGAATTGTTGAAGCCATCACACTGAGTGCTGCCTCATACTACCCATTACCCGGGTTAGCGTTCACATCATCGGCCACTAAATAAAGTGGACAACTTGTAAATCTTCATGATTTACATTTTCAGAAGTTCTCAAATTAATATAATAAACTAAAACGAAATAATATAACAAAGTAAAAATGTCAAATTGAATTACAGTAGCAATTAAAGCAATAATTAGTGCTTTGAGTATATCGTTTACTTACAGTAAGTGTGATATAGTGTCAGTCTTATGTCGAGTTCCCCTCTGACCTGTACAGTATATAAACCTTCTGACGTTTACTGTAGGAATGTAGGGTGTCAGGAGGAGGACATTCACGGACGGAGGCTACAAACTGTATGGAATACAGTAGAACCAAGTTCAGGGGCACGAATAAATTTCCCAGTTATAATATAACACAAGAGTAAGGTTTACTGTGTTATGGCGCACTGAACTAGACCGCCTGATACAACACAAAGCACAAATAGTTTAAAGTTAGTTTTGAATAAACATAAGATTCTTCTTTCAAAGTTCAACGCAGTTTTGGCCAACAAAGAGAAAACTGTGTTATTATATATTTTAATGAACTTATTTATGTTGTCAACTTATCATAATGTTTGTTAGTATGTTCCTTATTTCCATATTATTCATCTTTGTGTTATTTATTGCTTAAACAACTATAGTTAGTGACAATTAAGTAAGTTACAGTGCTGCAGCTGACCCACACCCAGCCAGGAGTATGGCCACCGCTGATTGGTTGTTTGGTCCCCACAGTACCCACACTATAGAAGGTCCAGCGTATTGGTTGCTAATAACTATTCTTCATTACTATAACATACACCACGCAGTCAGATTATGTGTAGTGACATATCTAATACCCATGCAGAACATTTGATATGTTGCCAGAACTTCCACTTTTACCGATTTCGGCGTACACACACACACACATACTGTACAGACGCACACACTCGCACGCGCGCATACATATGTGTGTGTGTAAATTTCGTCTTAAGTAGAAGTCTACAATAGAAGAAAAGCATGAAGCAGTCAAATTTTCCAGAGTTTACACGCGGGAAATCCTGTCACGTCACCAACCACAAAAACTTTCTTTGTAGTTGACACAACGTGTGATTGCCCACATCTAACTCCTGGATGGAGGAAAATAAAAGCTACTTCATCACCCTGAATAAAATGACTGTTTTCAAGTTTCCTGGACTTTTTCGTTAAAATAATGGGGGAACTTTGTGTATCCTCTTACATACTGGCTAAATACACAATATCATCTTACTTCTTACAGTATATTTATATACTGTAAATATTAAACTTCTTAGTCAAGGGTCTGAAAGTCCTTACATGTCGGAATCACACTGCTCTAAGTATTGTAAGTCTTAATGTTACACCTAATATTTATACACGAAAAAAAAATAGTTCCACTCGACTTACACTGTAAATAAATGTATCACTGCCGTTCAACAACTGTAGGCTCTTTAAGCACTACAATAGTTTCGTTCAACAAATTGAAATCAAAGAGAATTTCATATCTATCTGCTAAGATGTTCTTGCTTGAGGTTTATTTAAAAAAAATCCAAATATATCTTTTGCAAATTTAGTGTTTCTTTATTTTCTTAAGGAATGGTTATGAATACTCGTACAGTACCAATGAGCTCACAGGCTACACGTGGAATGTGTTAACAAGGAAAGTCTTTGTATCTCTAAGCTCAATTCTCCGTCAAACTACTATTGTTATATATACAGTACAGTACACTTAAGCTTCCAACATCGATATTATTATCAGCTTCAACAGCTAAGGACGTTCAGCGAGTAACTAGGTTAATAATCACACAGTTCTATCAACGATTAAAAATTATAAGAGATGCAACTGTTTAAGTAATCTTTCAAATTAAACTACATGGATTTTATGTAAGTCTTCACTGTGTGAGGTGTTTAGGTAAAATGTTGGGAAGTACATTACTGCTGAGTCACTGGTACACATACAAACTACCAAAAAAAAAAATATGATCACTGTGTGCCCAATTAATGACTGTAATTTGCTACAATTAAAACGTGTACTATATTGTACCTTCTCTACTAGGGGAAGTGTCTTGAGTGCACTTATATATGAAAACACTAAAGTGAGGTGTTCACTGGGTAACAAGTGATATGAGTCTGCCTACTCTCTCCTCTCGCTCAGAGCGCGAGAGCAGGAGGAGGGGGCTAGCTTGGAGTACAATTTGCGAATTGTGAATTACTCAGAATACGCAAATTGTACTCCAAGCTTTATCAATAAATTTGTTAAACTAAAAAAGCTTGGAGGATTTGTGAAGGCAACCCGAAAATGCTTGGGATGGCGAGTCATGGTTGCCAGCCCTCCGGCGGGTGGATTATATAGTACACGTTTTATATATATATATTATATATATATATATATATATATATATATATATATATATATATATATATATATATATATATATATATATATATATATATATATATATATATATATATTAGTTCTGGAACTAGTGAGTGACTGGGCTGAAGTAAACACTTTGCTGTTTTTCTTTCTTTATTGTAGAAAAATAGAGTTTCACAGGTACTTAGTTCAGTTGCGAGTATATATGAAAACACTTAAGTGAGGTGTTCACTGGGTAACAAGTGACATGAGTCTGCCTACTCTCTCCTCTCGCTCAAAGCGCGAGAGCAGGAGGAGGGGGCGAGGTATTTGCTAAATCAGCTTGACCTGGCTCTACCTCCAATGTATGAGATGAACTACCAGTCGCGAACTGACCACTCAATGGGACAGACGGGTGCCCATAGGTGCTCCTGTCCTCCCGATCGTCGCACAAAGGCCACTTTAGTCTCTATCTACACCTCCGCCGGCAAGTGTTGCCAGCGATAGGGGGTGGGGTCGATGTAAACGCCCCAGAAGAGGCGTCCCCTGTCTCATGGATACAGACATTTCTGATACGGATAGTCATGCTGCTTCCCACACCTTGCAAGAGTCAGACCTCAGTGATAGTGACAGTAACAGTAATGTTTCTATCGGAAACACATGCCGGAGTGGCAACACATATGCCAGAAGCAGAGAACTTCCCCTCGCCACCCGCCCCTCTGCCAACCAACCAATTAAGCTGAATCTGCACTTCCCCAAGGACTCACTGAAAACCGTCGAGGAACGGTTTAATAGGACAACAAAGTATTGGAGACAACACGGTCTCACCATTCAATTCCGAAAAGATAAGAACCGTAACTTTATCAAGTGTCAGACACCTGAGGTCTATGAAACACTTGATATTGTTGGGTTTGACGGGGTTGTTCTCGTGCCGCCACCACCTGACGCAGCAGAATGGTGCCACATCCTAGTTAAACAATTCTCCCTATACGCTGAAGTCGAAGATGCTCGTGACTTTAATCCACGTACACTCACGTATACTCAGTATACGTCGACACTACAGGGGAAGACCCCACAAGCCACTGTTGAGACTCGCCAGTCCTCCCTCCACTGAATGCAGAACCATATCACCCCGGGCCTGCTTTTTGTGTCATTTGCTCCCATAGGAGTCACACTTTTACCGCCTGCTGCAGACGTGATCATCCCAGATGTCGCCTCTGTTCACGTAACCATTACTCCTTCGTCTGTGCCCAGAAAATCAAAGACCACCTCAATGGGGGTGGTGTGGGCTATGTTGTTGACCCCAGGTGTTGTAATTGCGGTGGCTGGCACAATGCTGACTCATGGGAATGCCCTAAAAGTCCGTATATCGTATGTCCCAGGGGGAAAGCCTCCCCAAAGGCTGCGTCAACAGCAACCTCCCGCCCAGACTACCGGGCCGCCTTCCTCTGCGTCCCCTCCTCTGTCTCAAGCAACGCCTCCTTCTTTAACAACACCTGCCCCTGCCTGGACTCACCTGGCTGCAACACAGCAGTCCCTGCCATCTCCTAACTCAACTTCTACTGGTCCTCCTCCTCCCCGTCTCTACTCTGACGCTGCCAGGCCTTGTGTTCCCACCGGTGACCCCCTACAACACCCCTCCGGTGACACGACACAGACCATATCCCTCTTCCACGAATTTACCAACCTTATTTAAAAACTCTTTGATACACTCTTTACTGCCATCTCTGACCTACACAGACTACCCCTGCCTCCAGCTGCTTCCCAGTTACCCCCCTCTTCTGGTTTGCCACGGCCTACTTCACCGCTGCCTGGCATCACTGCTGGCTTGGCACCTACCGAACCTGCCCCGGTGTGCCCTACTGTCCCCGTGCCACGTCCGACCCCATCACCACGACACGTGGTGCCTCATTCTGTCCACCAACCACAAGCCGTGTCTACTCATGTCTCTGAGTTGTCTCCACCAAGGCTCCCTATTGGACCCGAGGACACCATCCCGTTCCCCACAGGTATGCCGGCAACTGGGGCCCATCCACTCCAGTTCTCCGCATCAATGGACCACCATGAGGACATGCACGTGAACTACATATCTACGCCAAGATGGATGTCCCCTACCAACCTCTCGACGTCCCCCTTGAAGCTGACACTACCGACGAACACGCCATCACAATCACACTAAAAGCTATGTCCCTCAATATTGTCAATGCCTTTGTGCCTCCCTCCACCTCTACTGTACCTGTCCTACCACAACATTTCACCTCCACCCCCACCCTCCTTGTGGGGAACCTCAAAGCCCCAGTCTCTGCTCCCAGGGGCCTTACCCAAACTCCCGGGGTAACTCCTGACTTTCTTACATACAAACCACTGATGATCCTGTTCCCAACACCTCTTCCCTCCCTGACCAGATATCCCTCCTCCTAGAGACAGGCCTGGCACTTGACATTATTAGGGACCTTCCACGCTTTGCCAGAAACAGATAAATTGTACCGGGAATTTTCCCCCCACACACAAATCATTCTATCACTTTATGTAACTTGCTGACAAAACCCATGACCCTTCAGGATTTTACGCCTTTACTGCATGAGTCATGAAGGCAAGCATGAACTACGCATGCTTCCCAGATGGGCACAGTAAACGCTTTTGCGCTTCACCTTGCACAGGATGTAAGGGGGTGCCCAATAAACAAGCCCCCTCGGGGGCAAATAAAAAGATAACAACATGAACAACGACTAAGTCATTGTTGCATAACTTAGTGAATAACTACTGAGTCATTGTTGAATAACTTTGAATAACTATTAAGTCATTGTTGAATAGCATAGTGAATAATTTGGTATTATACATTTCAGTATAATACATTTCAGTGAATATTTATATAATACAAACGGTGCCGTTTCAACCTAACCTGACCTAACCATACCCAAGCGCTTTTGTGTAATTCGCATCTTCCGGATTGAGTACAGACTAAAGAGTGATGATGATGATGATGCTGAAGTAAAGTGACAAATGACTTTACCATGAGAGAGGAGAGGAAAGAAAGAAGGAAAGAATAGAAACGGGAAGTAAAGTAATACAGAGTAATAGCAGATGGAAACGTGTACAAGATAATTCTTGATAAAATCGCACAGGAAAGGGGAAACAATGGATCACCTTAGCTTTCGTCTTTATTCAAAACATCTTCGGCAACTGAATTTACAGGGACTGAGACTGGACTTTATGTTGTTAGAACATAAGAAAGTAAGAATGAGGAAGCTGCAGCAGGTCTATTGGCCCATACTGGGCAATCCCATTTACACCCGACCCCTATAGCTCATATATCCATCCAACCTATGTTTGAAGCTATCCAGCGTATTCGAGTTAATGATGTTGTTTAGTAACTTGTTCCACTCATCCACTACTCTATTTCCAATTCAATGTTTACCTATCTCGCGCCTATATCTAAATATGTCTAATTTAAAACCTTTGTTGCGAGTTCGCCCCTAGTTGGATAGTTTGAGTACCTTTGTTATATCACATCTGTTTAGCCCTCATTTCCATTTATACATCTCGATCATATCGCCCCTCACTCTACGTCTCTCGAGGGAGTGTAAATTAAGATGCTTTAACCTATCTATGTACCCAAGGTTCCTCATGCCCGGGATTAGTCTAGTCATTCTCCTCTGAATTCTTTCCGAGGGATTCTATATCCTTTCTGTAGTACGGTTAACAGAACTGAACTGCGTAATACAAGTGAGATTTCACAAGCATAAGATATAGTTTTAGGATGACCTCGCTAGTCTTGTACCTAACACTCCTTTGTTAGCCTTGTTTCGAGCAAATACACATTGCTTACTTGGTTTAAGATTCCTACTTATCCTTACTCCTAAATCTTTCTCACAGCCGTTGTTCATCTGGTATCTCGTTTCTCTGTTTACATCTCCTAGACTAAGTACTTTACATTTATCCTCATTAAATATAATTTGCCATTTTTCAGATCATTCGAATTTTTTTTTGATCTTCTTGTAGTTTTGCGGAGTCCTTGTCAGACTTAATTACACGCCCTATTTTAGTGTCATCAGCAAATTTACTTATATTGCTGTCTACGGCTATATGTATGTCGTTTATGTATAAAATAAATAATAATGGTTCAAGTAATGAGCCTTGGGGGTACTCCACTAGTGACGTTACTGCAATCGGGTTTAGTGCCGTTAATGCTCACTCTCTGTTTCCTGTCCTGTAACCTCGCCTTAATCCATTTTAGAATTTCTACTCCAATTCCACAAGCCTCCACTTTTCGTATTAGTCTTTCGTGGGGGACTCTGTCGAAGGCTTTGCTAAAGTCAAGATATACCACATCATAATCGTGCCTGTCGTCCACTGATTCGAAAACAGCTGAAAAGACTGTTAATAGATTAGTCAGATATAAACGCCCGCTTGTGAAGCCATGTTGGGAATCATTGATCAACTTGTGCTTCTCCAGGTGATTTCAAATATAGGTTGAAATTATTTTTTCCATTAATTTGCCTACACTTGATGTTAAACGATTGGGCGGCAGTTAGAGGATAGTGATCTGTCTCCCTTCTTGCAAATCGGTATTACACTCGCTATACTCCCGGATTCTGGTACTACATCAGTTTTTAATGACATGTTAAACAAATTTGCTAAGGGCATACTAAGCTCTTCCTTACATTCCTTTAATACTGTGGCAAATATCTCATCGGGACCTGGTGACTTATTAGGCTTTAGCTTCTCTATTTGTTTGACTAACATCGTTTACTAGTCACTACTATCTCGCTTCATCTATTTTCTTCACTTTCTCCGTATATAGTCGGTGCCTCGGGTATCGTCTTTAAATTTTCGGTGGTAAAAACTGTTGAAAAATATCTACTCAGATTATTGCTCATTTCTCCATCGTTATCAGTTAGCTCGCCGGTATCTGGCTGTATTGGTCCAATTTGTTCTAGTGTTTTACTCTGATACATTTGAAAGAATCCCTTGGGGTTTACCTTGACCTCCCTGGGTACAGGTCACCGACCCACATCGTGGCCTGGGGGGCGAAAATATAATAATAATAATAATAATAATAATAATAATAATAATAATAATAATAATAATAATAATAATAATAATAATAATAATAATAATAATAATAATTCATAGTAAATAAAATTTATGACAAAAAAACAAAAATTAAAAATTAAATAATAAGGTAATAATGATAATAATAACAATAAGAACACTGTTATGATAATAATAAAGAACCATAAAGTAATACAAAATGAAAAAAAATAAATAGTGAGAAACAATATATGTATGTTGTGTTGTCAAAATAGGAGAAACAATTGAGACCCTGCGATTGTGTGTAAATGAGACGGTCACAATTTTCGTTATGCTTTATGGCAACAGGGTCTACCCTTAGACAACACATTAAGCTTCCAATATCTTCCCAGGCGGTAGTACCTCCCTGTTTGAAAGCTGTCTACTACCTACTACCTTCAGTTCATTATTCCTCTTTGTTTTTCTTATCTCGGTCTTAACCCTACTGGCCAATACCTTATAATGATCTCGGAGGTAAAGTTCACCACGATTTATTATTCTACCTATAGCCTTCCTTTGTCCAATAATATTCTTTAAATAATTATTTATCCATTTGGGGCCATTTTTGTTTTCTGTATGGTATGTTCTGCCTTTGTGCATTAAGTAACTCATGATTTAATTTTTTGTGGAACTCGTCAACCTCAGATTTCGTGATCAGGTCATCCTCAACAGTCATATTTTGTGAGGTTATCGTTGTCAGGTCTCCAGGTAAAGTAAGGTCGCCCTCTGTGGGTACATTGTGTGAGGTCACCTCAAACGAGGTCAAGTAATCCATCCGTAAACGTGATACCCCTTCTCTCAGCTGCCTTTTCAAATTATCTGAGTTTGTCCTTCTGAAATCTGGGTCTTTATTGAATTTTCCTTGCGACTGTGATTGCTGTTAGCTAGTTCGTTCCCTCCCTCGACATTATTAATGAGGTTTTCTATGTTCGACAGAACTAAATCGAGTATATTATTACCCCGGGTGTGTTCGGCTATATATTGACTTAAGAAACAGTCCTGAACTGTTTCAAGAAAATTCTCTGATTCTGAGTTACCCGTAAGTTCGATCCAATCTATTTGAATAAAGTTAAAGTCGCCTACTATGCAGACTTTGCTATGTCCAGATGCCTTGCGCATTTCATCCCAAATAAGTCGTTCATTAACTCTATCACGATTAGGAGGTCAATATATTAATCCTATGATTAATTTTTCCCTACCATCGGTAAATTCTAACCAAATTGTTTTTTATTCAGCTCAGTTTTTATTTCCTTATTTATTTCACTCTTCAGATTTTCCCTGACATTGATTGCTACTCTACCTCCTTTCCTAATCTGCCTATCGGTATGGTATAATTTGTAACCTGCAATTTGGTATTCGACAAGTAACTCACGTGAGTCTAAGTTTATCCAGGTTTCGGTGAATGCTATTATATCAAATTTTTCGGTACAAACCAACGCCCTGATTTCATCCATTTTGTTTCTCATATTTCTACTGTTTGCGTACTGTTATAGCACTATTTCTCTGTAACTGTTTATTTTGTTTACCCACTTCCACTGCAGTCTCCTTGATCCCATGCTCACATGTTTCCTAGCATCTTTTCAACTGTCCTCTCGAGAGAGCCAGCCAGGGTTGCCACCCCATCCCAGACAGATGTACCCATTCCCTAGCATAAAGGTACCTTCTGCCGCAAAAGTTGGACCAGTTGTCAACGAATGGGACTGATATTGACTTGCAATATCTGTCAAGACGGCCGTTAACACCAACTGCCATTGACAACCATTCATTGCCAACTTTCCTTGTTGGCAGGACACCACATATGATAGGGAGCCCCCCCCCCCTTCACCCTAATGCGTTCTATAGCTGTCTTGAACTTATCAAGTATCTCGTCACTCCTACACCGGCCAATATCATTGCCTCCTGCACTAAGGCAGATAATGCGTTTGTTTCCATTGCCAGACAAGATATTGTCCATCCTGTCAACTAAATCCCCCACCCCACCTCCTGGTAAACACTCCCTCATCCTATTTTTATTTTTACCACAAAAAGCTCTGTCCAGGTACCGTACCTGGGAATCACCAACAATTAAGGTTTTCGTACCTTCCTTGTTAGCCCAGTCCCTGACTA